AAGTGCCCTGTAGGCGAGGGGTTAAAGTGCTTAAATGTATTGTGATTGAATGAGATTCAACAACACCAAACTACAATGCTCCACCACAAATATGTGCACCTCCACCAAGTGAGGATGGCCACTCACCTCATGAAGTGGACCTAGATATTCGTATCGGTCAATCAAGCTTATTAATTCAATCCATGGACTCGAGATGGCAGCATAAAGCTGATAATAGCAATACCAAGAAAAGCAATATACCAGGACCTCTTCACCACTCAGTTCCTACATGTAGAAAGAAATAACACTCTCCCATAGCATAATACCATTTATTGGACAAAATCAAGAAGCAGAGTATCACTCACAATAATCAAGATATTTAAGGTTAATATACAGCAAACTCTTCCAGTCCGCAAATCTGTAACCGGAACGGACGTCCTCCCAGAACGCGCTCTCCTATGGACACAGCTGATCACGTGATGTGGTAAAAGGCCAATCACAGCGGCCTTTTACCACGTGATCAGCCGTGTCCAATGACACGCTAATCACCAGGAAATGCAATTGCTGGGTCTCGACTGCACTTTCCTCGCGCTGTCAAAGCGTGGGGAAAGTACTGCCGAGAACCAGCAGATGTCAGAGCAGGCATCGGCACCGATCATCAGGGCACTGATGATCGGTGCCCACCCATATGTGCCCACCAGTGTCACCCAGCAGTGCCCATCAGTGCAGCCAGTCAGTGCCAATAAAAATAAAAAAAAAAAAAGCTTCAAAAATCAACTTGCCAACAACCAAATTAACCTAACAGCATGCGTTAAAAACAGGGGTTTAGTTGGCACACATTTGCAAATACATACGTAATGGTATAGAAAAAAACAGCAGTGAGCGCTAATCCTGAAAGCGGCTGAGCACTCTAAGCAACCAATATAAACTTAAATGAAATAACATAAAAATAGTGCAGCGCTAAAAGTAGTGACAATAAGACAAATAAAAGTCCACTAAAAGTCTTGGTCATATGGACGTGTCCAGTGACAAATGAGGATTCAGAATTGGTGATCCGTGTGGAAACGGCTGAAAAAAACGCACTCACCAGAAGTAAGACACATAAACGCAGTGTGCATCTAGAGCTCATGGATCCTCAATCCAGAGGGGAGTAAAGCTGGTCCGGTTACAGGAATGGTGAATCCCTCCTCTGTGGATGCAGCAACAGATCCTCCTTCTCTCGATTAGGTGTAGAATTCCAAGATCAAGATTCTGCAAGCAAAAGCTTAATCTAGATCTGCTTAATGCAAATTAAGATAGTTGGAGAGCCAATGAGCTGCTCTTAAGCTTTTGCTTGCAGAATCTTGATCTTGGAATTCTACACCTAATCGAGAGAAGGAGGATCTGTTGCTGCATCCACAGAGGAGGGATTCACCATTCCTGTAACCGGACCAGCTTTACTCCCCTCTGGATTGAGGATCCATGAGCTCTAGATGCACACTGCGTTTATGTGTCTTACTTCTGGTGAGTGCGTTTTTCAGCCGTTTCCACACGGATCACCAATTCTGAATCCTCATTTGTCACTGGACACGTCCATATGACCAAGACTTTTAGTGGACTTTTATTTGTCTTATTGTCACTACTTTTAGCGCTGCACTATTTTTATGTTAAATACATACGTAAGCCACAGAGCCACGTCACGGCACCCCGATATTCTGTGGTCCTAACTCTACAAATTTGAGAGCCCCCATAGTAGAGGCACATGCATTTAAAGGATAGATCAAGGACAGGTGCACATCGGGGAGCCCACCCCTCTTAAAGGTACGGGAGTGCAAAGAACACCCAGCATGTAGCACAATGGCAGCCAGGGCGCCCAGTGCACCCACTCACCTTCAGATCAACAGTTAAGTAAAACATGGCACCTGCCCCAGTCTATAACTGGCTTATGAAGCAAGGATTACGCGAACCGGGCAACGCATGTCAATCGTGCCATTGTGCTACATGCTGGGTGTCCTTTGCACTCCTGTACCTTTTAAGAGGGGTGGGCTCCCTGATGTGCACCTGCCCTTGATCTATCCTTTAAATGCATGTGCCTCTACTATGGGGGCTCTCAAATTCCTAGAGTTAGGACCACAGAATATCGGGGTGCCGTGATGTGGCTTACATATGTATTTGCAAATGTGTGCTAACTAAACCCCTGTTTTTAACGCATACTGTTAGGTTAATTTGGTTGTTGGCAAGCTGGCTGGCGAGTTGATTTTTGAACCTTTTTTTTTAATTTTCCTTTTTTATTGACATGCGTTGCCCGGGTTCACGTAATCCTTGCTTCATAAGCCAGTTCTAGACTGGGACAGGTGCCATGTTTTACTTTACAGCCAGTCAGTGCCACCTATCAGTACACATCATCCATGCTAGCTCATCCGTTCCGCCTATCAGTGCAGCCTCATCAATGCACATCAGTGAAGGAGAAAAGTTACCTGTTTGCAAAATTGTATAATAGAAACAAAGAAATTTTTTATTTTTTTTTCCACATTTTTTGCTCTTTTTTTGTTTATAGTGCAAAAAAATGAAACCCTCAGCGGCGAGTGAATACCACCAAAAAAAAGCTCTATTTGTGAGAAAAAAATGATACAAATTTCATATGGGTACAATGTTGTATGACCGTGCAATTGTCATTCATAGTGCGACAGCGCTGTAAGCTGAAAATTGGCCTGGTAAGGAAGGGGGTATAAGTGCCCGGTAGGCAAGGGGTTAAGGATTGGCACCTTTTGGGGGGCGGGTACCTGAATTTGACACTCCCACTTCTACTGCGATCACCTTGGCGATCGGAAGGGGAAGTCCCAATCCTCTCCAGTTGGGCGCTGCTGACTTTTTTTCTTCAGCTGGAACTCCGCTTTAAATAGTTGGAGTCGTCAGTCAAAAAGGACTTTGCATGCAATAGTTTGTGTATAATTTTTCCCTTTCAAACTTTTATATGTTGTGGTCATATGTTCTCCCTGTGCCTGAGTGGCTTTCCTCTGGGTACTCCCGGTTTCCTCCCACACTCCAAAGACATGCTGGTAGGTTAATTGGCTCCTGTCTAAATTGGCCCTAGTGTGTGTATGTATGAATGTAAGTTAGGAACCTTACATTGTACGCCCCTTGAGGGTTAGGGACCTTAGATTGTACGCCCCTTGAGGGTTAGGGACCTTAGATTGTACGCCCCTTGAGGGTTAGGGACCTTAGATTTACGCCCCTTGAGGGTTAGGGACTGATGTGAATGTATAATATATATATACAGTTGTGTCCAAAATTATTCAACCCCCAATGCTGTAAAGGGGTTTAGGGACTATAGTGTACATTTGGAATTGTATTCAGAATCAAATCCTACAAGGACGTTGTAACTACCCAAATGCAACTAAAATGACATCAATTGTTTATGTAATACAGTAGTAAATGGTTCTTATGTGGTTTCTTCATTGCCACAATTATTCAACCCCTTAAAGACTACCACTCTGAAGAACAGAGGTTCATACAGGTGCTTTCCATCAGGTATTGAAAACACCTGTGGATGTCACCGAGCAGCAATCAAGCATAATAAGCACCAATTAGGCAGCTTTAAAATGACTGTGATACTCAGCTCCTTCTAGACATTTACTGGTGTGGTTACAAACATGGTGAAGGCAAGAGAATGGTCCAGGAAGACAAGAGAAGAGGTGATTTCTCTTCACAGGAAGGGCAATGGCTATAAGAAGATTGCAAAGATGTTAAACATACCAAGAGACACCTTAGGAAGCATCATTCGCAAATTCAAGGCAAAGGGCACTGTTGAAACGCTACCTGGTCGTGGCAGAAAGAAGATGCTGACTTCGACTGCTGTGCGCTACCTGAAGCGTAGAGTGGAGAGAAGTCCCCGTGTGACTGCTGAGGAACTGAGAAAAGATTTGTCAGATGTGGGTACAGAAGTTTCAGCCCAGACAATAAGACGCACACTGCGTAATGAAGGCCTCCGTGCCAGAACTCCCAGGCGTACCCCCTTGCTGTCTCCAAAGAATAAGAAGAGTCGACTGCAGTATGCCAAAAGCCATGTGGACAAACCACAAAAGTTGTGGGATAGTGTTCTGTGGACTGATGAAACAAAATTAGAACTGTTTGGGCCCATGGATCAACGCTATGTTTGGAGGAGGAAGAACAAGGCCTATGATGAAAAGAACACCTTGCCTACTGTGAAGCATGGTGGAGGGTCAATCATGCTTTGGGGCTGTTTTGCTTCTGCAGGTACAGGGAAGCTTCAGCGTGTGCAAGGTACCATGAATTCTCTTCAGTACCAGGAGATATTGGATGGAAACGTGATGCAGTCCGTCACACACCTGAGGCTTGGGAGACGTTGGACCTTTCAACAGGACAATGATCCCAAGCATACCTCCAAGTCCACTAGAGCATGGTTGCAGAGGAAAGGCTGGAACATTTTGGAGTGGCCATCGCAGTCACCAGACTTAAATCCGATTGAGAACCTCTGGTGGGACTTAAAGAAAGCAGTTGCAGTGCGCAAGCCTAAGAATGTGACTGAACTGGAGGCCTTTGCCCATGAAGAATGGGCGAAGATACCCGTAGATCGCTGCAAGACACTTGTGTCAAGCTATGCTTCACGTTTAAAAGCTGTTATAACTGTAAAAGGATGCTGTACTAAGTACTAAGATTGAATGTCACTTGGGGGTTGAATAAAACTGATAATGCTGTGAGCACAGAAAAGACATTTGTGGTTATTTCATTATAACTGTTATGTTATATTTTGTCTGACCTACAAGTGCCTCTTTAATGTAAATGTAAGCAAGATGACTGAATGATCAAAAGCAATGTCAAACTGGCCAAAACACTCAATTTCAGTGGGGGTTGAATAATTTTGGACACAACTGTATGTGTGTAAAGCGCTGATGTGAATGTATGTAAAGCGCTGCGTAAATTGACGGCACTATATAAGTACCTGGGGAAAAAAAACAAATATAAGATATGAGTTAGCACCACACTATTGTACCAATTAACGAATACTTCTTTTGTTACAGTGGATAAGTCAAACTACATGGTCGGAAGTTATGGACCTCGCGCAGAGGAATACGAATTTCTCACCCCCCGATTGAAGAAGCCCCAAGGGGCATGTTGGCCAGGGGCTGTTACAAGATGAAATCGCTTTTCACCGACGATGACAAAACCAGCCACCTCTACTGGGAGTGGAACCTGACCATCGGCAAGAATTGGAATAACTAGGCCTGCCCAGGGATGCCCTCCAAAGGCTCACAACACCCCCTAGTTCCTCCGACTCTCTGAGAAGTGCTGCTGGATTGTGTTCCAACTCTGTACCACATGGTGTCTCCTCCCCAACACCGCTCTGCCCCATATAGTCCCTCCCGACCCCCCCCCCCCCCCAAAAAAAAATGCCAAGTGGGATTGACGTTTCTGCCTCATGTGGACACCTGTCTGCCTTGCCTTTCCTGTGTTTTACGTCTAGTGTTGGATGACTGGGATGTGTTCACTGCTTAAATTATTGTGCCAAGCTCTAGGTCTTGGCCTTATCAGCAGCAAGTTTACACGGGGAGTTCATAACAAACATCTTTTGCTGTATCCTCCCTTTTCCAGTTTGTCCCACCCCATGACCGCCTTATAATTGTTTGCTGCCTTTTTTTTTTTCTTCTTTTTAATTTTTGTAGCCATGTTGCCTTAAAATGATTTTGCATTTGTTGCAGTAGGAGCAATCTTTTCTGCTCCATGTTTAAGACTTGTGTGCCTCGCTTTTTCAAAGTCTGCCTACCGCACCGCATCGTCCCAGCCTTGGACGATGCCACGTTTGTAAACTGCTCTTGTCCCGTATTTTTTAGCCGCGACCAAGTCGCAGATAAAGGCACTTGTCAACGAATTTCCGAAGATTTAAATTTAAAAAAGAAAATCAGGAATTGAAATCCAAGATTGCATAGGACCAAACAACTGCAAACATTTTGCTTGGTGTCAGTTTGTGTTTTTCGTGGGCCGCAAGGGCATCAAACACTTGCTCAGCGGTGAACTGGGGTATATTGTGTGATGTGCCAGCATAGTATTTGATCACATCATTACGAAGCTGCTTGCCTGTAGTCAGCCTGCCTCACCTTGCACGTTGCTCGTGTGATGTTCAGACCAGATTTGTGCAGTTGCCTGTAAAAAGAGCGCCATTCTAATGCTAGTACTGACATATGAATGTGGGGTCGTAGCTAAGACGAGGCTGCTTTACATCCTGGGATGGGAGAATTGTAACAGTATCCTTTTTTTGAGGTATAGCCCTTATTTATTGCCTTTTTGACATGAAGTACTTATATTGCCTTTTTGACATGAAGTACTTATTTCGTGGTCCGTGATTTAAAGTGTAACTAAAGGCAAAACTATTTTTTATCGATTTAGTTAGTGGGGCTTAAAACTTTTGTCAGGTTTTTATTGCTGTCTGGATCCACGTTAGGGATATTTACTCTCTTCAGTTGTATTGATCACAGATGTCACGGGGAATAAGTGAGAGTAAATTTAAAAAAAAAAAAAAAATTGCCACCGGAACAGGAATAGAGGGGAAATCTTCCGACGGGGACACTAGTTCTGGTGACAGCCATGGATTCCCTCCACATAAAATACTCTCACTTCTGCCGATCTGCCAGACAGGAAATCTCCCTAATGTAACCGATGGCAGAAAACACAAACACCGGTTTATTCCTTCACCTTTACTCCATCCAAATTGCTAAAAATGAAGTTCTGGCTTTAGTTCCACTTTATCATTTCACTCTGGGAACTCCTGGGGGCATCTGTGACTTTGCAGCCCGGAGAGTCTTGGAGGGGGGGGATTATCTCTGAGGTAGTTTTTGTGCAGACGGAATTGTGTTTTATTAATTTTTTTTTTTGTATTTGTTTTGTCTGTAATCCTCTCCCCAAAGAGATTCGCATGATTCCAACGATCGACTGCTTTCCTTTTTATGAAAAATAAAATGATTCCAACTGGCTACACGATGCTTCCTGTTTGTAATGCGCTTCCCGCACCGCAAGCTCTTTCCTCCGGTATCCACTGTGCCGCCGATGACTCTCACCTTCCAGTAGTTACGTCGTCACCAGCAGCTAAATTTACTGTTGCTCTGCGTTTTCATGCAGCTGCCACTAGGTGACACTCTTGAAATGTTTAATGTCTTTTTACATTGTCATGCAGGTTATTAATGGCCTACCTGGCCAGTGATAGAATGTGGCTCTCTCCTATATTAGGTGACTACTACTAGGAAGAGTGCTACAATTCTCTCAAGTGGCACACTGAATACACCCATAATGCTTCTGGTACCACAGCAAGACTTGCCATGCATGTTTCAATTGGTGGCATGTAATTTTAGTGAACAAGTCATATCAAATGAAAACAAAAATCAGGGAGCAGTGCACTGTTTACACCAGCTGAGTATGATCATCTGAGGTCCTGCTAATAGCAAGCAGTAAGAACGGTGAGGCCCCATGCACACGGGTTCTATGATTTTACATAGGATCTTGCTGTCAGCAACAGCCTGTGTAAAATGATGTCTTTACACTGTACTCATGTAGTGTTTGCATACTCTTATTGGCTGCTGCTCAGAGCCAGGATGTAAATAGCACCACTAATTGCACACTATTGATAGGCCCATGCCATCTAGCATTATTGGTTGCAAGGATGTAGGAGGCTCCTACTTTCTAGTGTCCTTTGTTACTAGAATGCAGGCGACCCCTGCTGCCTAGTGTCCTTTGTTACTAGAATGCAGGCGACCCCTGCTGCCTAGCTTCCTTCGATACCAGCATGCATGCGGCCCCCTGCTGACTGGTGCCCTTGGTTGCCAAGGTGCACGCGGCCCCCTGCTGACTGGTGTCCTTGGTTGCCAAGGTGCACGCGGCCCCCTGCTGACTGGTGTCCTTGGTTGCCAAGGTGCACGCGGCCCCCTGCTGACTGGTATCCTTGGTTGCCAAGGTGCACGCGGCCCCCTGCTGACTGGTGTCCTTGGTTGCCAAGGTGCACGCGGCCCCCTGCTGACTGGTGTCCTTGGTTGCCAAGGTGCACGTGGCCCCCTGCTGACTGGTGTCCCTGGCGTCCTCGGTTGCTGGGATGCAGGTGGCCCCCTGCTGACTGGCGTCCCCCGGGATGCAGGCGGCCTCCTGCTGACTGGCGTCCCCCGGGATGCAGGCGGCCCCCTGCTGACTGGCATCCCCGGGATGCAGGCGGCCCCCTGCTGACTGGCGTCCCCCGGGATGCAGGCGGTCCCCTGCTGACTGGCGTCCCCCGGGATGCAGGCGGTCCCCTGCTGACTGGCGTCCCCAGTTGCTGGGATGCAGGCGGCCTCTGGTTGTTGGGATGGAGACAGCTGTTCAGATCTAACACGCAACATCCATAGTTTGTAATCAGCAGGGCAGATATTGCTGATGCTTACATGTAGGCCCTGATTAGCAGTTAGTACATTTGCAACATTTACAATACTTTTATTACATAGGTCCTGAAATGCAAATTTTCCCAGTTTTGCGTTGCACTGAGGACTAATATGGAGCGGTGTACAAGGGATCATATGCAATACAATAGCTAGTACAGGATAATGGATACAAAAAACTCAAAATATTCAATACAAAATCAGGGATCGGAGAATACAATACTGATGCATTGAAATCTGCATAAATGACGGATCTGCGCACATATTGTACTCCTGTGTATGAGTCCTGTGCTGTGATGAGTAAACAAGGATTCTACGGGAAACAGTTTGTATTGTATTTAGACTCTTATGACATTATCTTCAATTCAGATTTCCTGTGTGTGCATATAACCCCTCCGTCTCAGAACGGAGCTATGATAATGCAGATGAGCTAATCTAATTCCCTACTGCTCATTGGCTGACCGTCTGGAGAGTCCTGCCCACGCTAATCGAATTCCCTACTGCTCATTGGCTGGCCGTCTGGAGAGTCCTGCCCACTCTAATCGAATTCCCTACTGCTCATTGGCTGACCGTCTGGAGAGTCCTGCCCACTCTAATCGAATTCCCTACTGCCCATTGGCTGACCATCTGGAGAGCCCTGCCCACTCTAATCGAATTCCCTACCAGGGGCGGACTGACAACTCATGGGGCCCGTGTGTCCTTGCCAAAACAAAAATACCTATGAAAAAGGTACCAGGGGCATCTCATGGGGCCCCCTACTGACCCCGGGCCCTTGGGCAGTGCCAAGTTTCCAAATGGTCAGTCCACCCCTGTTCCCTACTGCTCATTTGGCTGACCATCTGGAGTGCCCTGCCCACTCTAGAATGTGTGGGCGACTGATAAAATTGGATTTGTGGTGAGTCATAATCCCTGCAATGTTTGCTGTCAATGAAACTGCTGGAATTAAAGGGGCATTTACCTGCACACACGACAGTGTGAGGGCTGTACTGATTCCCTTACTGCTGTCAGGTACAGACGCGGGTCTACAGATAAATTCGGTCTCTTACTAAACCTGTCTGGGTTGATGTATAATGCAGGCCAAAGACAGCTTGAAAACCAGGCGTTTTTTCATCCGATAAACGAAACATCGGTCGTTCGTTAAACCGACGTAACCACCAATTATGAAAATCGGCCGACCAAGTCATAAAAATCATGACATATAACAGGAAATGTCATTTTTCAGGTCACAGCTCATGCACATATTTTTTTCGTAAAAACGATTGTACGATTTGACCATCATTGACGCGAAAATCGGTCGTTTTCCAGGAATTTTCCAACATGACCGATAATCCAAAAGTGGAAAAACCGCAATAACCGGCCGATGAATTAACCCACTAACAGTGCGAAAATCGTCCGATTAATCTTTCGGATGAAAAATCGGCCAATTTTCGAACCATCTATGGCCGGCATAAGGCCCCATGCACACGGGGCGTCGGAACAAGCCCCTCTGAACACCAGATCTGCTGACCGGAAAATGCTGCAAAAAAAAAAACACACTAAAAGCTGCATATTGCAGACAATTCATTTATTCTGGTCATTGGAATGTGTTGACGCTCAAACGCTGAACAGTACAGGCAGGTTTACTTACCTAACCCACTCCAGTGCCGTCTGCAGAGCTTTGGCATCACCACCTACAATATAGGGACATTAAGGCTCGGTTCACATCTGTGTGGGTGGTGCCGCTGCGGATCCACATGAAAATCCACCACCCACACAGAGAATTTTGGACCCGAGGGGGTGCTATTAGTTCTAATGGCACGCCGCCCGCACTGGAAAACACAACCATACTGG